AAAAACCACTGTTAAATCCATCCGGGCCTGGGCTTTTGGTATTGGGAATTGAGAATAATGCCTCTTTTATCTGGTCGTTAGAGACCGGATCCACCAGCTGAAGTTGTTGAGAAACATCCAGACAAGGTCCTATTTTAATGATATCGACCTGAATAGGTTCTGTCCAAGTTCTATGCCCTTGCAATTTCTGAAAATAATCAATCATAACCTCTGCTACCTTACTTCTGCCCTCAACCTTCTCCCCTCTTTCATTGATGATTGAAGTTATCTGGTTGAGGATAGTCCTCTTCTTAGTCCAGGCAAAAAACAGTTTTGAGCCTTGGTCACCCTCACAAATCCAGTTCTGTTTAGCTTGTTGCACTCTCATCATATGTGAAGCTTTATTTTTGAAAATAAGCTCCTGTAGACATTGCTTCTCCCTTTCCAGCAGACTTGTATTATTAGTATCCCCCTTCAATTTGCTTTGAATGTCAAAAAGTTCCTCTCTAAGAAGATCACACTGCTGGTGGATGAGATGGAACTTTTTGTTAATCTGTTTAAGAGGATATTTAAGCTCCTTCTGTTTCCTTATCACCTGATACATGAGCCTCCCTGATATATCTTTATTCCATACTGCTTGGAGGGTAGATTTAAAATCATTGTCTAGCTCCCACATATCACAATATTTAAATCCCACATTCCTTCTGTCTTGCTTATGGGTCCTAAACTTTTTCCTAATCTTGCTTTAACATTATGTGATTTTTTTCTGATTTTTATTCATCTGGAGTGGGAGGAGGGGAAAGTGCCACATGATGCTTATGTAGGCAAAATTCAAACTCTCACAAGATACATAATCATTTATGTAAGGAAAAATTCACCTGAGTATTCTAATAAACGGGCAATTTTACGTTAATACTCCGAAATCCATTAATCAATGCCACTTCTCCAAAATGACTCAATTTTACACGTTACTCCGGGCTGCCAACTAATCACAATCCATTTTGAATGCTGAATGGGAAATTATCAAGTAAGAGTTTGCCACTAATTAAAAAATAAAGAAAATACCTTAATTGCGTTATAACTAGACCGCTGCCCTACTTGCTTAAAACAGAAAAATTGAAATGAGTGCATAATTTAATCAAATAAATTCTGAAAGTGTTTCAGACAAAAAATGACAAAAATATTAAAGGATTTTGGAGTCAATATTTTATAATCAAATTTATATTTGTTGATAGGTCTGGAAGAAATAAAACCAACATTATATCTTTTGAAAGGATTTGAGTAATGGATTTAAAGTTATGGTCATTTTAAAAGTATAAAAAAAGTGAAAAGTTATGATCATTTTAGAACTTATCTGGTTAGACAATTATTTTTAAAAATAAAATGAGAAAAATGAATCAAAGAAAACACATTTGAAAAGAAGAGATTGTACTTCGTATATACTCCCTCCGTGCCACTTGTTTCTCTACCCTTGTAATCTTTATTTGTCCCGTTTGATTATTTACCCTTCCTTTATTCCTTTCACTTTATATGAGATCAAACCAATACCCACCCTCAAATTTAAACCACCCCACTTTTTTCCTTTTACTTTATACCCACACCACCACTTTTTAATCATTATTCTCTTTTACTTTTTGGTCGCATCAAGGGTCATTATTTTTCTCCTTAAATACCGTGAAATTTTCTTTGTCAAGAACCAAGTGGGACGGAGGGAGTAATATCAAACTTCAATCCGTTTGTTTATAATTTCATTTTTATCATTTTGTTTTGTCAAATACTCCGTACTTGTCAAACCAGTTCAGTTTTACTTTTCACTTAATGATCATAAATTTAAATTCGTAACTCAAATCCTTTCATAAGATAGTACGTTGGATTTATCTCTTTGAGGCCTATCAAGTGTATATAAGTTTGATTATAAAATATTAACTGCAAAGTACTCTAATATTTTATCTAGACAATATTCACGTTTTATATAATTTAAATATAAAAACACTTCAATTTTTTAGTTTTAAATAGGTTGGGTGGGAGGTCTAGTTATAACACATTTAGGGTATTTTCTTTATTTTTTAAATTAGTTGTCAACTCATGCTCAATAATTGTCGATTCATCATTTAAAATGCCATGTATTTAGCTTAGTTGGCAGCCCAGAGCAACGGTGTAAAATCGAGTAATTTCTTGGAGCAGTGGCATCAATACTTGTATTTTGAAGTAGTAACGCAAAATTGCTCATTTCTTGGAGTATTTTTGTGAATTTTTCCTATATGTAATCATATTTCTTTTACTTTGTGTCCATCGCCAATGGTGCTAAAAGTAGTCATTATTGACAATGCTATAGCTCAGGGTAAAAAATAGTCTAAATCATATTGGCACATAGAACATCACTTTCTTTTTACTTTCTATGAAATTTTGGGTAGTACATGCAGCATTGCATCAAAAGCCTAAAGAAAACAGAGGTAAGGTTGCATGCATCTTTACCAGTCAAATCCCAATGGAGTAAGGATAATACTGGGTTTTGTTGTATATTTCTTTAGTGGATCCGTGTTGTATATTTCTTGTTTTTGTATATTTCTTTTACAGTGTTGTATATTTCTTGTAATTGTTTATTTCTTTTACTGCATTGGCATCATTGCTGGATCTGTCATCTGTTTATCTCTTTTGAAATGTTATTTCCTTATCTCTGTATTGCCCACTTCATTTTTGAGCATTGCAGTGGAGAAAAGGCTTAAAACTAAGTAGTGAGGGTGCAGTGGAAAAGTGCACATTAGATGGCGTCCGTGGGTTTCGTACAATGTTGAGTGCAACAGTACACGATGTATTATACTATATGAGCCCCATATACTGCCAGGCTATCATTGACTCGGTATTAAGTTCTGGTCTTTGATATTCTCTCCTTAAAATTTGTCAATTTTTAATCACTTTTATTTTATTTTTTCTTTGTTATTGTTGTAGATTCCGACATCTCTTAATATGGCCAATTTGGTCCTTCATATCTTTGAACCTTTTAGCATTTACTAATTTGTTCTCATTATGTGAACTAAGATACTATATCAACTACTTGGATCATGTTCCAGGATGTGCATGTTGATTTTAGAATATCAACTTTGTAAGAAGACATGACTATATCATCTATGATCTATCTCAACCCATCTCTGTGCTATGATATTTTTCATGAATGTGAAAAATAAACCTATGCCAATGATGCTCCTGGAATTTTTTTCTCATTATCTCTTCTGAAGAAGGCTGTGAAATGAAGGCCACATTGCATGAGTGCCATGAAAGTGAAACTGTTTCTCTCTCTTTTGAATTTATAATGTTAACCAATTCTTGAATATTAATTGATACTCTAAATTTCATGAAACTGACCTCAACATAGTTAGGATTAAGGTGGTCATGATGAAGTGAACTAAATTGCTACTGGCACAATTGCTGTGTTGCTGTAAAATATTTGGATTGCTGTGACATCTGTTGCTAATTTTTATGCCTTCTCAGGTTTCCAACCAATTAAATAGGTTGTATTTAAAGTTCATCAAGAGGAATCCTGGCTACGATGGAAAGGTATATGCAGGTGGAACATAAATATTTTTTGCTTTCTGTTATGAACACATTAGTGAACGTAGAAGAAGATATTCATCCTTCTCCTGGAAGGAGGAGAGAGCAGTTTGCTACTAACTTTTTTAATTTGAGCCCACTGCTAAATGGAGCTAAACGAATTCAAAAATGCTTTACTTTCGGGCACATAACAGACTAAATCAAAATGTCACATCAAACTTCTCTTGCTTTTTTAACTTTCTATCATGTTTTGGGAAGTAAATGCAACAATGCATCTTGGGTCTAACAGAAACAACCCTAGACCCCAATGGAGTTGGGATTACACTGGTTGTTGTTGTTGACTTCAACCATTCATGATTTTATAGTGATTGTGTAAGTCTAAATAGGCAAAGCCTTACAACCGACCTACCATAATTATACTAGGAAACATGATTCCTTATTTATCAATATTAACTAAAATAGAATATGACTACTAATAGTCTAATAGGAGACTTATGATAAATCCCTTCAGGAAGATTAACTAAATTAGAATAAGACTACTATTAGGAAACTAATAATAATAATAATAATAATAATAATAATAATAATAATAATAATAATAATAATAATAATAATAATAATAATAATAATAATAATGTTGATGATAACAACAACAGCAAGAGCAAGAACAAGAACAAGAACAACATCAACATCAACATCAACATCATCATCAACAACATCATCAACAACATCAACAACATCAACATCAACATCAACAACAACAACAACAACAACAACAACAATAATCATAATAATAATAATAATAACAACACAAACAACGATGACAACAACAAGAATAATATTAATGCTCTTATCACTTTCATATCATAGGGACTCTTTGGCAGTTTATGTTTGAAGCATATTCCTGCTATTCTCTTGTTGTAGGTTTCCATTTATGGTCATTCACTTGGGAGTGTTCTATCATATGATATTTTGTGCCACCAAAAGATATTGTCGTCTCCATTTCCTATGGAGTGGATGTACAAGGAAGAAAATGAGAAGAAACCGTCATGGCACAACACAAGCATAGTATCTCTGGAACAGAATGCTGCGTCATTGAATGATGATTGTCTTTCTAGTGGCAGAAGCAAGCACATTGTGAATATTCTTAACAATGATAATGCCAATGTAGATCAATGTTCTTCAGAACTAGTGGAAGATAGTTCTGAATTCATTTGTCATTCAATCACTCCACTTGCATTGTCAGAGTCAGATGAAGCTGATGTCAGCAATTTTAGTAACAAGCTACCTAGTGATGGGATTGATTTAGGCTCCATTGAACGAGGCACGACTTGTGATGCTCAGTTAGCAGAATGCAGAGTTACTGGGTCTGATCTATCAAAAATTGGAGGCACAGAAAGTGATAAAGAAAAAACAATCAGATCACTGAGGGAAGAGGTTCTGAGACAAAATTAATATTATATCAGTTTTCTTAAATGGCCTCTGCACTTATTTGCAGAATTTATGTCAAATAGCATTTTCATTGTATCAGATTGATTTGCTAACAGCCAAAATCAGAGAATTAGAATGTCAGCGTGTTCTCCAAGGTACATGTGTAGTTGATTTCATTCATATCATACCTACATCTATCTTCTGTTCTGCAAAAGAATATTTTGTTTATGTTGCTGTGTGTGTTGCTTTCTCATTCTGTGCATAAAACACACAGGGAATGATGAGAGCAAAACAGATAAAATGAATCCATATACACCTGCAAATGCAAATGTGTTGTCAGAGCGATGTGATTTACATAAGAATTTTACTCCTCACATAAAATACACGAAGTTGGCATTCAAGGTAATTTTGAAGTTGTAGGTCTAGATAATTTTACAAATCAACCAAGTTGTTTCAATTTGCAGTTAGTTACAAATAGTAGTTTTGCAATGCTATAGGGTAATTCTTTATGTTTACTTGATTGCATATCTAACAGCTGCATACCACGAAGTATAAGTTTTGAATATTTATTTATATACCCTCATACATGTGTTCTTGTTTTTTTTGTATATGTTGCTTTCTAAATTCTAATCTATTTCTGATTTTTGAGACTAGGTTGATACATTTTTTGCCGTCGGTTCCCCTCTTGGAGTTTTTCTCTCTCTCCGCAATGTTCGCATTGGAATTGGTAATTCCCTCAAATAATTCACATTGAATAGATTTGCATGTATGTGTGGGTGCTTCATGTTAGTTGTGGTGGATGACGGACACATCCCTTTTTTTCTCCTCTACCATACACACGTGAGAGAGAGAGAGAGTGAGAGTGAGATTAAAATTTGTTCATAATATAAATAAATATGGCGTGCCACATATTCTTTTTTTTTTAGTAGGAAAATAAGTGTAAATATTATTTTAAAACCGCCTGAAAAAGAAAGTGTAGTTTATTTAGAATTGGGATGTAGGAATTATATTTTAAGGACACGTGGTGACTTAATTTTTTTAAATGTTTTGTTTTGTGGTAGCACTTTGTTTTCTTAAAATAGTTTGCGTTGTACTCCTTCATTTGTCCTGTTTGACATTTTTGAGTCAAACTCGATGAACTCTAATCATCAATCAAAAAAATTGTATTCCATATTAATATAAAAACACTTTGAAATATTATTTCATTGTATTAATATGCAATATAATTTTTACTTAATTGATAGTAAAACTAGTTTGAGACCCTACTCTCGTGGGATCCAACTGGGTTTTTGTTGTTGATAGTAAAACTAGCTTGATTGAAAAAATTCAAACTGCCCGAATATATTGTGACGTAGATAAAATGTAAGTAGCTCATGCTGAAATGGTTTCGTCAATTTTGACTTAGTTGGACTAAGATATGTGAGACAAGTCCGACAACTATCTCTAGCATTGTTAAAGAGTATCCCACATCGGAACTTAAAGAGAAAATAGATCGGTATATAAGCTCTTGAGTTGAACTAAGTAATCATTTGGATTCAATCTTTTAATGGGGTTCAACCCAAGTGTCTTATTGCCAATCCAGGAACCCATTCCTCATCCTAAATTCTTTCATGGTATCGGAGCCTGTTTTAGCCCACCTCATTTGCTAAGGTGTCCGTCTAGAAGTTAATTTCTAGCAGCCCATTTGTCTTTAGCCCAGTTGTTCGTATGGAAAACAGCTTGTGGCCCATATATGCTGTTTGTTTGTCTGGAAGTCCATGCCCAGCTATTCGTGGTCCTTTATGTGTTGGCACTTTCTATCCTTTCATTTCATGGGGAGGAGGAGTCCATTTGCAAGTGGTCAACCGGTTAGATTCAAAATGACCCTATTGTCTACTTGAGGGGGAGTGTTAAAGAGTATCCCACATCGGAACTTAAAGAGAAAATAAATCGGTATATAAGCTCTTGAGTTGAACTAAGTAACCAATTGGATTCAATCTTTAAATGGGGTTCAGCCCAAGTGTCTTATTGCCAATCCAGTAACCCTTTCCCCATCCTAAATTCTTTCAAGCATATTCATGTTAACTATTTACTAGAGTATATTAACGCTTGTTTTAAAGTGTTTTTTTATTATTTACTCTCTTTTATATGAATTTGTATGCAAGTGTCTACTCCTGTTTTATATGGTATATTCTTATGCTTCATGTTAGGATTCTATGTTGCATGATTTTGTTTGCTCCGTAGACTCAAATTTTAACTACTGTTTTTAAAATTCTTTATGGGGTTTCTAGGCCAAGGGCAAACTTATTGGGAAGAAGAAAATATTAATGAAGAGATGCCAGCTTGTAGACAAATGTTCAACATATTTCACCCTTTTGATCCTGTGGCATATAGGTTTGGCTTGGATATTTTTTGGTATGTGCGTGAAATCTTTAACACTGAAAAGCAAATAACCTGGAGCAATGCTTGTATTTAATCCAGAATAGAACCACTTGTTTGTAAAGAATATGTGAACAAACGACCAATCATTATTCCTTACCATAGAGGTGGGAAGCGACTTCATATTCAATTTCAGGTTAGTGTCACAGATTATTTTCCTTCTCTCCTTTGTTATTCCCTTCTCACACACTGTCAACAGGAATTTACTGAAGGAGTGGCTTCAAGATCACATGCTCTTTTGAATCATATAAGCTCTGCAGGGGTGAGAAAAATTTGAATTTCATTCACTATTAATTCAGTACTTCCTAGCTATTTCATCGTTTGCACAGCTCAACAGTACATATTAGTAAGCTCAACTGGGTTACTTGCAATAAATACTGAATGAACTTCGCTCGATATAAAAGAAATAGTTTTTAGGATAATGAGGAGGGGTTCTGCTTTCAAATGAACACAATTTCCTGGTAAAGAGTATGATATTCATGTTGTGTAAAAGGCAGGGGGGAAATTCTAAATGAGTGAGGAAAAGATGTAAATTCATAATTGTTGGTTACTTGGATTCAGCAGACCTATTGGTTGAGTATAGTACACCTTATCTAGCATAAAATCATCACATACTTAGTACCCCTCCAGCATGTAAAAGCATCATGCACACACAACATGCCACAAATACATAATCCACATAGGGAAATGATGCAAGAAAGTGGGTCAATAAAGGGGGCAACAGCCAAGATAATATCACTATCCTCAGTTCGCAGGAATCGCAGCGCAATGCAACTCAGCTCCCCACATATGCTTAAATAATGATGTAAAATTAACTATACTTTTGGTGTCTTGATTGAATGTGGTGCAATCTATTGCCAATTCTGTTAGTCCAGGTAAATTTTTTGAGTTCGATTGCTGTAGTCGTGCATATCTTGCATTCTCTCTGTCCCACACTCCCACTATTTTCGGGACATGAGGGAGTGGCACAAGATTTAAGAAAAGTAGGATTATGGGGTTGATATTTATCTTAAAAAGCAAGAAAATGTAAGATAAATTGGGAGTGAATGTGAGCCACACCAATATGACCACTCAGATCTCGATGGAGTTGGTATTGTATTGGGATGTTGTTTAGTTGGCATTTCAAGGTTGAGAGCTTTTAAGTAATTGAATAGTATATCTGCCACCTCTGTTTTAGCTGATCCCATGAAATGCAATCATTACTTGTACCCTCCAGCCTAGTGTTCCACCAATACCCGGACACCATTGATTCCGTCTCCTTGAGTTTATTGCGATTAACTTAACTAGCTTTTGCTATGCTTTACCTTCCATCCGTTCATTTATCTCTGTATAATGTCCTTAATAATTACAAAACCCTCCTCTAAATAAGCCCTACAACTTATGCTAGTCCGACCCCTCTGTGTTATTCTTCCTCATTGACTTTTTAAACTTTAGATACAATTTCAGGTGTTTCATTGCTCACTTTCTTACTGGGAACAGTTGCAGGTGTCTCGTACTTCCCTCGTTCCGTAATTTTGTTCCTTCTTTTCTATTTGGGGTTTTCCAAAATTTTGTTCCAATTGCTTTCTTAGAAAATATTTTGTGGTACATATTGTTTCTCTCAGTCTCTCCTTTTAAAAAATTAAACCATACAACTTTCATTTTATTAAAAAGTGTGCCAAGTCAAATTAGGATCTAAATTGTGGGATAAAGGGAGCAATTAATTTCTAGGACCGAGACCATAGAAACCTTTGTAACAGTTTTGTGAATACATTTATTTCTTAATGAAATAAATGCTAATGTTTTTTGCTAATTGAATTAATATTTCCTTCCACGGTGTTTAGTTAGCGGACAATGTTTTTATTTCTTAAAAGCTTCATTGTTTTATGAAGTATTACATGGGGGAAAGCCAGAAAGGATGTTTTTTTTGTCAGTTGGACTGGACATGTGTGAAACCTACAATAGAGTTGAGTGGATTTTCATTGAAAAGATTTTGCTTAACTTTGTGCTCCTTAAGTAGGTTAAGGTGCTCAAACTCTGTGAATCAAGAGAAATTACTGACGAGGAAGGTGACTGGAGCCTTGATTCTGTGCCCTTTCTGTTTATTTGTAATTAGTCCTTTCAAAACATCCAGATCTCTCCCCTGTTCTATTATTCTTTGCTTTTGTTGAATGGAAAATTTTCTTGCAGAAGGAACTCATGAAGCTGAACTGAATAGAGATAGGTCATATGGCTCAATAATGATGGAGAAATTGACTGGAAGTGAAGATGGTCAAATCGATCATGTTTTGCAAGTATGCATTTAGTATTCATACAAACTATCTGCAAATTTTTAATACATTTCTGAACTAATTGTTATTTGAGATTCCCGTTGTTTCTGTCAACATTGATGTTGATGCTTCTATGAATATAGCCTGAATTTTACTGATCTAATGTAAAATTACCTGTTATGACATTCTTGCTTGCTGTGTTATATCGAGTTTCACAACGGTTTCATATTGCTCTTATATGGTCACCATTTAATGATTGTGTAAAACTGAAATACACCTAGAATTTTTTTGTTCCTTCTAAATCTTCTCAATCTCGCTACTTTTGGTTGATTCTTTGTATCTTGGCAGTAAGTAAGTTAGCACATGAGGATTGGAATTTTTAAAGCCTTTGTTTTATTGACTGTGAATAGTTTCTCTTTTCTGTGTCCGAAGCAAAGTTGTAACACATTGTTCATATATTAGCCACAGATGAAATAAGTGAAAAATATGAGTATATTGAACTATTAATTTATTAGGGATTTTATCGTGAATTTTACTCCAGGTTTCAAATTGATACTACAAAACTCATACTACAAGAATAAACAAGGAAGTCCATGCTTCAAACCATTACAATTCTTTGCTATTATTTACTTTTTTTGCTAAGAGGTGTCATGTCTGATCAAACAAATCTAAAAAACCGTAAAAATGTGTGTGTGTGTGTGTGTGTGTGTGTATATTCTGGATTGGACTAATGTTATCTATGGCTATGGTTGATTAATTTTTAAAACAAAGCTCAATGCAAAACAGATTTACTGTCTCAGCCGAAACAGAGGATGCTAACCTGAAACAGTGAAAATGAGGATGCATTTATTATATCTTTAGTTATTAGCATGCATTTGCATCTACAGCTGCTCGCCTTTTTTTAAGTTGTCTCCGTAATATGCAATTCTTGTATGGTTTCTTAAATTTGATGTGATTAACCTTTGTTTGCAACCCAGGACAAAACATTTCGCCATCCTTACATATCTGCCATTGGATCACATACGTAAGTACCAATGTGCAATTTTACGGTTTTTCAAAAAGCAGAATACTCAAAGTGATGAATGTGGTTATGGAGGAAGAGATTACTATGATCATGTCCTTATGAAGTTTGCTTTCAAGGGATTATTTCATATCTGTGAAATATTATTGCAGAAATTACTGGAGAGATCCTGACACTGCACTTTTCATCCTAAAACATTTATACCGGGACATTCCAGATGATCATTCACCAGCTGAGTCTCACGATAGCGACTCAAAACATGGGAGCGATGAAGGTTACAGGTACGATCCAAACGAAGTGGATGCTTATGAAGAAGAAACTCCCTTAACTTTTGCGGACAAAGTCTTTTTGGACAAATTTAAACGTAGAGCACGGATCATTCAACCCTGATCTTCAGTTATCGTTCCCAAGATCATTTGACAGATAGAAAAGAAAATATGAAAAGGTTCCACGAGGAAAACTTTGAAGTAATTCGTGGTTGATGTGTCCATCTCAAAGTGATACTTGTATGTTCTATAGATTGTAAAAATTATTTATATTGTCCAAAATATGAAACATACAAGTGTGAAAAGGAATTTACAATCTGCAGGGATTATTCCCCTTGTAAATAATTATGGACAAAACCCACGAGTACGTTATACAGGGTGAAACATAATGTCAGTCAAAAAAACCAAGATCTTTTTAATTTGAAGATAATTGTACTCATTATACTATTGAGAAACATTGTTCAATAATTTGAATTGTATAATACTAGCATAAGTTTAATCATTAAAGAGTTGCAAAAAATTATGTTCGGTATAATTGTAGTATTAAGAAACAAGGTCGCAGAGAACATTTAAATGATTTAAATTAAATGAATTATGTATCATTTCATACAAGATTATTTTTACATTTTCAAAGAACATTTTCAATAGCTTATATTTTGTTATGATTATACACAAAGTTAAGACAAAACATTGTTATTTATGAGATTTTTTTTACCAAGTCATTATTCACTTATGATTAATTTTATATAATTGTTTCGCGAGCTATAGTAAAAGTAGGGTTCAGTGTATTATTTTAAGTGTCTTTGAAAATTTTTATAACATCACAAAAAATGCTGTATACCTCAAATTTTTTGAAATCTTTAAATTTATAAAAGACTTTGACATTTAAGTTTCATGAGTATTGTACGGAGTAATATGTATGGAGTAAGTTTTAATTTTTTTAACTCTATACCATTTTTCATATAAAATGATTTGAAAATAAATTCAGTCAAACATTGTAAACCGAAAGTCCAAAACATGCACTATAAATTGGGACGGAGGAAGTATCTCTTATCATTGTTTCGGATTTTAGGGTTGATGTTTTATTTTGTTTTATATTTAAAAAAGACATGACATGAGTAGGGGTGGACACGGTACGGTTCCGGGACGGTTCCGGTTCCGGAACCGCCGGTTCCGGTACCGCCACCCCGAGTAACCGGATAGTATACCGTGCNGCCCCCCCCCCCCCCCTATTTTTTTTTTAATTTTTAAATTATAAAAAATTGCAATTGTTTAAAAATTGCAATTGTTTAAGGAAAGAATGCAATTGTTTCGCCCCCCACCTTTTTTTTTTAACTTTTTTGCATTTCAAATAAAAAAAAAAAAAAAATTATACCGGTACCGGTACCAAAAAATAGGTACCGGAACCGGTACCGAAAGTGGCGGTACCGGTACCGGTTCCCGGAACCGGTGACACGGCGACCTTGCCGGTGACGGTGGCGGGTACCGGCGGTACCGTTGCCGGTGACGGTACCGTACCGGTACCGTGTCCACCCCTAGACATGAGTTAATATGTTAGTTCACCAAAATTTCTCACCCCGATGTTGCAAGGCAAGAAAATATTAAAAAAAATACTCTCTACGATCATAAAAATCTTTCTTATTTTGACTCTTTTTTATCAAATTATAACTCTTTGACCATAAATTAAACACAATTTAAATTGATAAGTGATATAAATATTTGATATATCAAAATTATATCTAAGATGAATCTAATTATATTGAATTGATATTATCATTAAATATATTTTTCTCATAATTTGTGGTTAAAAAGTGTTATTGTTAGATCAAAAGAAGTCAAAACAGGAAATGTTTTAAGACCGGAGGAGTACAAAATAGAGTAAATTTCATAATTGGTTCTTTACAACATGAGGGTTTCCACATTTAATCATTTATTATCAAATATTACTCTCGTAATCCTTCTTTTATGGTGCCTTTTCACAAATGGCCATTTTTATCTTATCTCATGTTGGTGTTAATTTGAAGGCTAAAAGTATTATTTGGCATGAATCTTATGTCTAGTACGTATATTGGTGAGACGAATAACAAAAAATAACGATTATGATTGTGAGTTAGGATTCCGACGGAAGATCACATTTGTAGATATGCTTGTAGTAGAAAGTGATTGTACTACACAAATGAGGCATTAAAAGCGGACTTTAGAATTGTGTATGACAAGAAAAATATATTATGATTGTAAAATTATACTTTTAGTCTTCAAATTAATACAAACATGATAGAAGATCAAAAAACGACTATTTGTAGTAAGATACCCATGAAAGAACCATCAAGGTAACATTTTATAATAGAAGACTAAATGAGGAAACTCTTTGTTATAAAGGACCAAAATAACATATGATCGAAATAACCTCTTGTTATGAAAAAGAAAAGACATCGGATAATTAAATTTTAATTTGAAAAT